ATTCCACAGATTATAAAAATTATAGTCTAAATACATTAAAAAAGATAAAAGAAGATCTCATTATTTAAAATTTTCAAAAACTTCTCAAGAAAAATATATTATATTAATTATAATTGTATTAGTATATATAAAAATATTAATAACGATTAAATAAATGTTACTTTTGTTCAAATATAAATAAAAATAAATAAATAAAAATTCTATAACTTAAATTCATGATTAATTGTGGATATTGCACAGATTATAAAAATTGCAGTCTAAATACATTGATCAAAAAAGATCTCATTATTTTAAATTTTCAAAATCTTCTCAAGAGAAATATATTATATTAATCATAATTGTATTAGTATTTATAAAAATATTAATAACGTTTAAATAAATGTTACTTTTTCTCAAGGAAAATAATTTATGGCATTGAGTAAAACTTTGGATAACATAGATTATGTAAAATACGGATTATTATGGAAATTATTAAAATGTAGATTACCGCCATCTATTGCGATTATTATAAAAATTGAAAATATGAATATATTGCGACTGTTATAAAAATACAGAAAATATTAACTTTTCTCCCTACAACTTTTCTCCCTATTTGATTTATATTTTCTACATCAGCAATAAAACACGTACAACAACGGAAATGATGGAAATGAATGAACTATAAAACTCATTTATCAAATAAATAAAAAATATTTCTCGTTTATGTATGCATATCAAGATATATTACTATTATTATTCGCTTTTTTTATTCACGGCTCACTTTATATTTTTATTTCTCGATGATAATAAATTCGAGAATTAACGTGACTATTCATAATACGTCAACTGTGTCGCATTCATAAAATTTCAAATTATGGTAATCTTACTGACTAATTAATACTTCCTACAACGAAGAGCGCCAACTAGCGTCATAATCAGAAATAACGTTACTAATAGTGAATACTAGCTGACTTACTATGTGACATAACCTATGTACACATATGATTTAAAAAATGCAGTAATTATCGAATGATTCACTCATAACAGTTATTAAGTCCAATGTCATTTAGTTATCAGAATATGACATTTGTGCGTTTCTTTTGTAACGATCCCTAGTTTTAAATTCGGTTAATTTAGGAATTTTAGAAATTTTAGGTTAGGCCTAAAATTTTAGGTTCGTCAAGGTCAAGTAACGTGTGTTTATTTAGCATGTTTTATTGAAATCAGTCTACTGGACAGAATATGTCATTCATACGTCATTAATTGAACATTAATTTTAGTAATTTAATCAATAATTTTAATATTAGTTTTAGGTTAGCTAGTAATTTTAATAATAATTTCAGTAGTGACTTAGTCATTTTTGTTTTAGAAGTGATTTCAATATTAATTTTAATAATAATTAAATAGTAATCTTCAGATTAATGTTAATTTTAATAATAATTCAGTAGTCACTTGTTTTTAGAATTAATTTTCATACACAATTTGAATTTAAGTTTTGCAAAGTTAAAGGACTAATTAATCTCGTTGTTTCAAAATATGATGAAAATCGATATTAAATTTGTTGCTTAAAAAATACTACGTATCAAATTGTATTTCACTGTATTCTGTTCGCACTTTGAGGTGCTTACTTACTTAAATGCTCTTTTTCTAATATTATAAATTCCTCGAAATGAAAATGTCGTTTCAACGTTATACATTTCCAGAACATTTTCATCGCCTTTTAGTTTCTGAAGTATCTCTCGTTTCGTTTCGACAGTCAGTATCATACGTTCCCTCTTTGATGCCATTACACGCATGGCGTTCACGCGTATAATGCCCATTTCATACTAGAGTAACGAAAGAAATATACTGCTGGAAAAATAGAACTTGAGGTAGTGGAATATTCGAATATTGGAATAGTGAAACGTTTGAACAATGGATGTTTCACTGAACTTCCTCGGATATTGCGCTCGTGCACATTTTTATGAATCTCCAAGCATTTTCATTGTTTTTACATCGCAATATCATCGCATATTTCACATAAGACACTGGTTTAGTCTACTGTAATAATAACTAGAATTTTTTAAATCTCCGAAAATATAATAAAAAAATGTTATAAATAAAAGATAGTCAGTATTAGTTAGACAAAAATTTATAACTATAAAAACTCCATAATTTTTTAAATTTTTCTTTTTGTTGTGAAATATCAGAAGTAGCTTTACCATTTTAAATATATCGTATAGTAAAATTTTAAGTGTTTATAACAATAAAAACTCCACAATTTTTTAAATTTTTCTTTTTGTTGTGAAATGTCAGAAGTAGTTTTACCATTTTAAATATATCGTATAGTAAAATTTTAAGTATTTCGAGATCTGGAATTCGAAAATTTTAATGTTCGATTGTTTTATTATTTGAACTTTTTATTATCTGAACTGATTTCTCAATTGAAGCAAGAAATAACAAATAGAAAATAAAATAGAAAATTAAATATTCGTTTTCTCTTAATAAAAAATTAAAGTTATTTTAATGTCATTAAATAAAGCCATATCATTTTTTCTATCGAACATTTTAGGTGGTATCGAGGTTTCTTTCCATATTTTTATAATATATTATATTGAATATGTAATAAAAATTTTATATATAAATTCAATAAGGAAAAGAGGAAGAGAATATAAAATATTTGAAACAATGTTATGAAAACTTGTTATACGATGCACTATATGTATTTCTTGGAATATGCTTTACTTTCTTGCATTAGGTACAAATGAGCAAATGATTAAATAACAGTACCTCAGTTATCCAAGTCATTGGCTTATATCATTTCTTGTTGCTCAAAGGTTATATGTACTACTGTGTAAACTATGCTTTACGTACACTCACTGACAATAAGTATGTTCACTTTAAAGTAACATAAATGGTTTCAAAGTGATACGACAAATAGAACTGTGTCGATATTACGGTATACTAATGTCTTGCGATTTATGATCTTATTTAAGAGACGTAGGTTAATAATTAACATAAGTTAATAATTAAAATTTTACTATGGATGAGTCATTAAATGAAATATATTGTACATATATACAAAATATATATATTACATTGTTGTAAATGGGTTATAAAAGTACATTGAGAGAATTTTCATCTAATAAATCTCTTAAAATAAGTGTCATATATTTAAAAAAACAAAAAAAAAAAGATTTCTTAATTTGTAGATATTCACAGATTTAAGACTTTAAGATCCGAGAGATATAGGTTTTACAGCTATATTAATTGTTATAAATTACCAATATTTATCATTTGGCTGTTATTAAAATATTAATAAAATATGTATAAAAAATGTATATAGCCCATGGAATGGAGTGCAAAGGACACTAAATTGTCTCTTATGTGAAATACATGAAATTTTATAAAGAAATAAAAGGAATATGATGATCTCTATATTTTAACAAATCTGATACCTTAATTAAAAGCTATAAATTAATAATCAAAAGAAGTGAATAATATTGAGCATTTAACTATTGCTTTTATTTTTAAATTGTGTTTTATGTGATAAAATGCATGAAATTTTATAAAGAAAAGAAAGGAATATGATGATCTCTACATTTTAACAAATTTGATACCTTAATTAAAAACTATAGATTAATAATCAATAGAAGTGAATAATATTGAGCATTTAAGTATTGCCTTTATTTTGAAAATCTGTACTTGTCGATGTGATCTCATTTGTATTTTAATTATCCAATACAATAATTTAATTATATGTTAATAATCATATACATTCAAAAATAACATGATTAATCGACATGATATTTCAATCATATTTTAATCGTATTATACATTCAGTAATATAATTATTATTATTATATTTAATAATAATATATGATTATTCGATATAATAGTATAATTCCATTACGTGTAAATTGTGATATATATTTAATGACAACGTAATTATTAAAATCTTTGATGCATCATATTATTCTTCAATAAATATTATAAATTTATGAAGTTTCAAAATCTTTTATTTTAAAATACTCTACAAATATGTACATATAACAAATGTTCTTAATCTCAACCAACTTCTCTCATATATGTTTTTTTGCTCTCGTTATCTACGTTTTAATACCTACACTCTAATTTCGATTTTAAAACATTGCGTGACTACGTTATATAAGTATGATCAAGATAAAATATCCAATTTCTATTACACTTACTATCTATACGTTATTGCTATCTTATATATACTCGATTTTCTTAAAACAATTAACCTAGCATAGCTATATAAATAAAAATTACGTTTGATAGTCCAAGTAACGAAGCATCAAATGAAAAAATGTTATTCTTTATTTTCGATTTGCTTTTTCATATAGAATCATCCCCTCCTCGGTTGTACTACCGTTGCTGAGACACCCTGTATATTAATTTATAATGCAATATAAAATTAAATATAGCTATATTTTAAAGCATAATAAAGTATAGCAGGCAGATCATTAAAGCTCAATTATTTTCCTTTCTTTGCCGTCAATACTGATAACTACATTTATAAATATTTTTAATGTTTACCGTACTTTATAATATTTTCAACATCCTTCAATACTATTTACTTTATAACACGTGATATATTTTATTATATTCATAAATATTTCCAATATTTCAAAGCACGTAAAATAAAATAAAAATTAATAATACATTTTAAAAATCCGCTAAACGAAACATAAAAGCGCTTTTTGACAATGAATATCATTTTTCCTCATGTCAAATGCGAATACTATTAGATAAATATAAATATACCAATCGTTCGAAAGCAGAGTAAATAAAAGACTAAATATCATTATAGTAGTCTAATAAATATTTTTTAAGCTGTGAATTAAACTCTACCGATATTACTTTACATCTCACATGTTAGATTACCACTATAGTTCATCGATGAGTCCATAATTCCCTCGTGTGACCAAACGAACAAGTATGCACGAGGAGACGAATATGAAAAAAAAGGTAAACAATTGTCAATTTTATTTTTGAAATTCCCAATTTGCTGTTTGCAGTAGCTGAATGGACACCGTGGCCTGGGCTAAACGCAGCACATGGATAGATAATTTTTGACAAAGAGGAAACGTGCGGCATGGGTCTGCCGCGTCTCTCCCTGAAGGGATACTTTTTCTATGTGCTATGTTCGTCCGGTTTGTTGCTAGTTATATTGAATCTACTACAGGACGAAATATGGCATCGTATGCGACCTCATCCTGGACAAACGCAACCCGTTCGCGTTTCCGACAGCACCAAGGTAATATATTCAACTTCTTTATATTATATGTAATATATCATTAATTGAATAAAATTCATTTCAATATATACTTCGGATTATTTTTAGAAATTATTTTTGATTTTTATATTGGAATTGTTTTTGAAATTATTTATATATAGTTTTGATACAATTTAATATCGTATGTATTGTATAGTTTGTCCAAAAAGTTTGGAACCAAACTAGGACTACGTGTTACTGAAATCAAATAGATGAAAAAAGTTCATATAAATTTATGCCCAAATATGCTTTATTAAAAAGATATAAGCATTTAAAGATATTTATGATTTTTTGTCACACTTATAAGAAATGTTCGAAAATTCGAAAAAAAAGAATTCGAATATAAGTTTATAAAAATTGTTTTCATTTATTTGACCTCAGTAATACGTAGTCCAAATTTGGTCCAAATCTTATTGGACACCCTGTATATAAAATTTTATTATAATTATATTATTATATATATTATGTACATTATATGTATGCAATGTTGTACTATATAATATGGTATATAATATTATAGATACACATTATATTATTATACATTATGATATTATGCATACAATAGTATAATTTTGTTTACTTTTATGAAAAGTTTCCTTCTTTTACGATTTTAAAATACGTTGTTACTATTAACGTTCTGAATAGCTTTTTTATATACAAATAATAGAAGCTTGGCATTAGTTTTTGTGGTATTTGTAGAAAAATTCGGTGCCCTTTCAAAACTTTTAAGATTTGTTAAGATTATCAAGAATTCTAACCTTTGAATTCGCTTATGTCCTATATGTACTCAACTTCCTTTAAAATCGCCATTTTCTTATTATAATAAACTGTGTCAGTTCTTTTTGTACCCACTATATATCAGTAGATCAATTATTAGAATCCTAACAGATTTACAAATTTCCTTTCTCTTCCAGTTCAACGAATAACAAAATTTCTAACCTAAAAATGAGATGTCTTCTTAGCGAAATTGGTGTTAAAGTGGAATTTCCCCCAAAAATTTTTTGAAAATAGCCATCAAATGAAGTGTAAGAAAAATTGTTAACGAAAGTAGAATATATATATATACGAACTTCGCTAGGTAACGTCGCAGAAACAAAAGCTACATTGTGACAAAAGCTTTGACCAAATGTTCAGATTAGAATTTAGATTTCCATCTGACTGAACGAAAGATAGAGAAAGATAGGCAATGGCGTGCCCGAGAGAGCACGTTGTTATTCGGTCCCCTTATAGGACACATTCGATGTCAATACAATGGTGGTTAGTGATCATTTGTTGGTATAATACGTGTTACGATATGACAAGGTCGTGGGATCAGTTAAGAATTAGAATAAATAATGTATTATTAATTCGTTGACTATGGAAACGATATAAGTCTTCTAGTATAAACAAACACTGGATAAATTAAATAATAAAATTAGCCGGTGGAATTTAAAATTTAAAATTTATCACATATCACAGCATAAAGACTATCATGTTTTAGAAACTTTATAAAAATAACATTATATAAAGATATTATGCAATTATTGTTTTATCTTCTTTGCATTCTAAATATTTCAAAACCTTTCTAATGAATCTGAAATTGTAAATTTCCATATATATGTGTATATAAAGTCATATAAATGTAGAGGAAGTTATTAGAGTTTATCGCTATTATTTACCTTTTTGAAATGTAAATTTTCGACATATTTTTAACATCTCGACATAAAAGATGTACTGTTATGATAAATGGCCTAATTAACAGAAAAAATCGGCGGAGAAAAGGGTAGAAATAAATGAAGACCTGAAATCTCGGTCAGGGCCGTCTAAAGAAATATTTAATCCAGTGTCAATGTGTCCTACTATATATCGAAACAAAAATTCATTCTTACTCACAGTTTCGTAATTACAGTGACCCTCTTCGTGTCCGAATGTATTGAAACATTATTATAAGACATTATTATTTACAATTTATTCACTTATATATACACTTATAATATTTAATATAACACGTTATTATTTACAGTTTCTTCACTCAAATATCAAGTTAACAAAATTTAATGTAACACATTATTATTTAGAATGTTTCCACTTATAGCAGAATCTAATATAACACATTAATTACAGTTTTCTCACTTATAAGAGAAGCATCGTCAAACAAAGCACCATTCTTTTGTTGTACAAAATTCTGACACAGGAGTGCAGCACATGACGCTAGCTAAGGGCAGCGACATCAGTCGGTGTCGCTCCTTAATAGTTTAATTTACGACCTCTCTATATCGTGACCTGCTATAGTGGCAGGCGATTGAATTATCCCGTTATACGCCTTTTAGTTTCCTTTTACATTTCGCGTTAGAAACCTCTGTTTTCCTTTCTTCTATGAAAGCGTATCTTGTTACATTTGTGATCACATTATCTATAATATATAATGGAAGAAAATTATGTGAAATAAGATGCGTCATTAAGCTTGGAAACTGGGACACAATCACAAAGTAGACGTGCCACTCACTGAGTACCAATCGTAGTCTAACAATAAGCCCTTCTGAACCGAATGATTCCGCTTAAGATACTTTCCTTTATTTTTAAAAACAGCAGAGATATTTTAGATCGAGCAGATAAAAGGATTACCTGGTGTTTGTAATAATATACAGGAAGAGTATTGTAACTATAAAATAGTATCAAGAAGAAAAGAATGAATTATAGGACATATATTATATTGATCTTTACGGTATTTTCAAATTAATGTGAAATCAATAATTATTTATAATAATCTATACAGATAAATTACAAATAAATTAAATATGGATAAGATTTATTGAATTTATTAATTTTCATAATCAGCAATTGATTGCAAATTTTGTTGTATAATGTAAGCTTCTTAATTTTTTATGACATGATCAATATTTTAAGTGAAAATAATATAATATTTCACACACATTATATTATTTTAAAATAAATTTCGATTATTTAAAAACGTATTTTTCTTTTTGATTTTATGCTTTTCCAAATTTACACTTTAGAAAATTAAATTAAGAATCCTTATCTTTTTAATTGGAACAATAGTTTTTAAGTGATAACCCAATAGTTTCTATAGTCCATAATAATCCAATATGCTTTTCATTGAAGTCATATCTTTTAAGTAATAATCCAAGTTTCATTAACAAATTAACATTAAATATTGCAAGGTAATTATCTTAAATGAAATGAAAAATATGATTATTAACATCAGCATAAATTATAAGCTTAAATATTATAATTAAATATTATATATATATTGCCTATAAATTATTAAACCTTTAAGAACTATACTTGGAATAATATTTCAATTATTGATGGAAGACGTGACGACTTAACCTCTAAACTGGGTCGTTCCTTAGCCTAAAATTATTTTTAACGTAGAATTAAAAATTAATAAGAATAAAATAAAGTTAAATCTATTTTAACAAAAAGAAGTGCAAGTTATTTATAATGTAGGTATAATACAGTTGTTACTGCATTAAAAAGTGGATAATAAATAATAAATTAATTAATTAACTACAAGACAGTGACAAATTTTTATTGTAATTAATTTTTTCATTTATCCAAATATCAAATGATAACAAAAATGGCAAACATTAGTAGAAATATATTTAACCAAATCTTAACAAAATAACATAGTCAATAATTTAATCTTATATCCAAATAATAATGAAGTTAACAAATACCTTTTAATTAATGTTGATTGGAAATTATGTTGGCATTATATTTAAAAAAAATTTCAATGTTATAGCTAATACATAATAACAAAAGTATATATGAGTTAGCCTACTTCTATAAGTACCAGTATACATAATATAATATATATTATATTAATATAAAGATTGAAAAACATTATTATAAGAGATAATCATAAACACGGGTTTAACTCATATATTTCTTTTGTTACATTTACATTTAATTTACATTTATTTACATATTTATATTGAATAATATTAAATATATTATATTAAAATTATATTATATTGTATTATATTATTCAATATCAATATAATATAAATGTAACAAAATAAATATATGAATTAAACTTGTATTTATGATTATCTCTTTTGATGATGTTTTCCAATTATTTTTTAAATGTAATTGGAAAACATTCAATTTAAATTGATTTCTTTATATTTGTACATACATACTGTACACTTACTCTAAACAAATAGATATTTTCGAAAAGGTTAAGATCAAATTGTAGTTAACGAAAGTCAATTAGACTAGAGAAGGGAAGTGCAATGTAAAAGTAACAAAAACACTTTAAATATCGAATTTCGATCGCAGATGAAAGAAAGTTGGCCTGCAATATCGAAGAAACCGACAATGCAGGTTTCGCAGACTCGGGGAAAATTGAAGGAAAAGCTTCCATCCGAGGTATAGTTATTAAATTGCATTGTCCATAGATGACCGCAGTACAGTATAAATACGAAACATAACCGAGACAACCTTTATATTTATATGAAGACTTACCGATAAAAATTCTACGGTATAATGAACTAAAAATCTTTCTAAGCAATAATCATACTAATCACGATATTAAAGTACACAATACGTTTTAAGAGAAACGATTGGTGTCATATGATTATAATTAAATCCCCCTATTGGTGTCATGTAATTATAATTAAGTTTCCCTATTTATTGGCGTTGTGTAATTATAATTAAACTTTACGTAGTTTTCGTAAAGTTTTTTCAAAATATTTAAAATATTAAATAACTGGCACGTTTGAACGTTAAATCAATGGAATAATATTATTATATTTAAAAGTCGTTTTAATTCTATAAATTTTATTACTTTTATTTTTTAATTTGATACGATAATTGGATACGTTTGGAAAAATAAAAATAAGAGTTCAAATGATTTATTATATTAAAATGGTTGTCTCAGTGGTTTCCGAAATACAGCTAATACCACCTAGTCAATTAGTTTCGTGTAGTTTGCTTTGTTTCGTCTGCCTTATGATACACGTAAGTACAGTCGCGTTCAAAAATATTCAACGCCTTTTAACAAACGAAGTATGCACGTTGATTTCAAACTTCCAAAAATAATACTTCACCAATTTTTTGAAATGTGCGGATAAAATTACAAAAAAAGAAAGAAATTCAATGACAAATACAAAATTCATAGAATATTGAATGCGAATTCATACAATCATAGGCACTAGTATTCAAGTGTATACTTTTTAACAAAATTAGCAGATTAGTATCAAAATCACTGTAATATAGGTTGTTGAATTCTTCTCTTTTATCCGTTATTTTAAAAATTCGAGTGTAATGTGCATATTTCATTTGTTAAAAACATGGAACTCAAGTTGATCATATACTTCTGTAAATGACTATATACAGGGTGTCTAATTTTAACCAATAAAAAAAATTAGCCATAAAGTATCAATTGTTCAAAAAAATAGTTTAAACAAGGATTCAATGATTTCGAGGGAAATATAAAATAGTGAAATTAGATTCTTTTTTGGTGGACGTGTAGACGTCATACGTAGACGTCAATTTTGTTTCTCTAAATAAAATCATTTATTTTTTAATACATTATATTTTTACATTATATTTTTAGTACATTAGTTTATGAAATTAATATGAAAAAATTATTAGTTTAAAAATAAGTTACCTTAATTTAAATATTGTTAAAAACTTATTACTCCTGTATTGCTGTCAGCTTTATTTATAGAGACTGAATTAACATTTATAAAATAGTGATGGTTACACATTGGTGTAATTACACTATCTTATGTCTCCATGAAATCATTCAATACTTTTTTGAACTACTTTTCCATACAGAGAGTAGCTTATGAGTAACTTGCATTTACCTAAAATTGGACAACCGGTATAAGAACGATGGCCAAACATGACTCTTTTACACTCTTAATGTGGTTCTTAGCGAGAACCTTCTTAGCTAGAATCTTCTACCAAGTTGTTAATTAATTAATGGAGAAAGATTTTGTTGTACATATTAACAGTATATATGTTACTATAATATATTACATTTTATATATTATTAACTAATAATATACTAACTTATAAAATATTGTATATTATATGATATATATGGTGTGTATAAAATATCGACCTAGTAGAAGATATGACTCTCGAATGTTATTAATAAAAGAAATATGGCTCCTGTTGTGATAAGGTTTGGCCAGCACTGTGTATTCATGATTAGACCAGCTTCTTCTAGCGTTGAATAAATTACGATTCGATACAGTCGCTATGCAGATGAAATTTCCATAACCATGTAAAATATGCCACATGGAACACGCGATTGCCAACATTCACAATTACAATTGCTGTGTCTGCAAATTGTTCCAAATAAAGTATAAATATATAATTCACACGGAAAGTTGCTTTGACGCTTGTGGAAAATGTTTATGGTTCTAGTTGTCTCACGCATTTATAATTGTTTATTTACAACTATTAATTATAGATATTATAAACGGTATTACTATACGTGTAATGCACCGTGTAGAAATTTATAGATAAGATTACCGAATAACATTCTAATGACATATATATATTTCTATAGTATTTTAAGATCTTTAATAATGTTCATTTGGCAATTAAAGATTGGAAAGATGTTTTTAGACGAATATTCATTTTTGATATTTGATAACAAATATGTACGTCATATGAAAATGTTATAATAAAAATTAGAAATATTGGATGTAATAAAAAATCTAAAAATATTAAGTGTTCCAATAGAAAAGATATATATTGATTTAAATTAATACTGTAGTCCATGAGAAGTAAAACAATAATTTGACTGCTATATTATTAAAAGTTCGTTTAGTAATTCTAATTCAAAAAATGTATTATTAACAAGGAAATAAATACATAAAAATACTAATTCACAAATGAAACAAAATTCCATAAAATAAAGTATTAAAAGTTTCCAATTAATTATAGAATATTATTAAAGACACATTCCAAACTTACAAAGTATAATAGAATATATTAAATAAATTCTAACTTTCAATAATACACTGAAAAATTAGGTTTGATTCACACGGATTTAATAATATTATTTAATCATTTTCACAATTTATTAATTTTCGTTCACAACTTTCTATTACTAAATCTGTATAGAATTAAACTACCACATAAAAAATACCATTTTTTCAAAAATTTGAAATCAGCAGTCAACTATCTATCGTGATTTAAAGATCATTTATATTAAGTTATAATAAATCATATTATGGAAAAATAAAAAGTTTGTTATGATATACTGCCATATTAATTATGGAATATTAATAGTGTCATAATAAAATTACGAAAAGTTGGATAGTCAGTGCTATTTATTATACCAATTATCATTTAAAAAATACCATTTTTTCAAAAATTTGAAATCAACAGCCAAGCACCTATCATATTTTAAAGATCATTTATATTAAGTTATAATAAATCATATTATGGAAAAATAAAAAGTTCGTTATGATATACTGCCATATTAATTATGGAATATTAATAGTGCCATAATAAAATCACGAAAAGTTCGTTACTCGGCGCCATTTATTACGGAACATTAAAACTCTATTATGGTCTTAAACTTCGATAATGCATTTCAAAGTTAGCGAAAGTCTGAACTCAGGAGTCGAAGAATTTGGCGTAAATGTTAGGGTGGTTCAACGTTGATCTGTAGCATTCAAGTACGATGAACTTTCATCGTAGAATAAGTCAAGAGAAATGCCAGGAAATGCCAGCCACGGCGATTCCACTAAAGAAATGTGAAATTACAGTTCGCAAGAGCATCTATCTATGGCATGCACTTGCGAAAGAAATCGTGTTATAGAACGATACAACTTATTAACGTTAAACGTACTGGTAATTTGTATACATATATCTACATTTTTCAAATCATTTAAATAATCGATTACATAAATAAAAGCTACATATTTTATTATTATTTACAAATAATAGTCAATTCAGTGCGAGCAATAATAAATAAACGAATTTTTGAATAGGAATAGAGGAGATTAATTTTTTCATTTGAATTTTAGATAAGAATCGAATATTAAAGATAAGTCGAATAGTATAATAATAGTCGATTAGTATAATAATACGATAGCCATAAATAATCGTATAATTTTGTCCATTGAGTATTTTACAGATTATAAATTATTTTTCCACTAATTTATTTCTTGTAATTGAAATAGATAGTTTTATTATCCTTATGATATTTTATTAAGCATGGTATGAGAAAGCATAAATTGAGAATACAAAAATTAGTTTCGAATTCACTACTAGCTTTTAATAATATTTAAAAGTAATATTTAAAAATGCAGATTCTTTTTCAGAAAAATTCAAATTCAAATTCTGTTCGGATTTAATTTACTGATTTCTTTATCAACTATGAAAATAAAATTCAGCAAAATTATTCCAAATATGGAAATTTATCTCTTTAAATTTAAAATGAACCTCTTTGAAATTTAATATGACACTATTTTACATTTTTAGATACAAGTAGCCTTCCTTTAGGATACTACTATTTAATACAAATTTGTAGTTTATTATTTATTAGAGTCTAATTAAGGTTTATATCATAATTATTTTAATTTAAAAGTATCTTAATATTAGAACTACCGATTTTTACTGGGATAGCTAAACATCAGTATATATTAATTGCAGTTCTATCTCGATATGAGTCAATACTAATTTTTTTAAAAGCTGGTACATGTTTTTAGTATTTGCAAAGAGGAAAATTCCGAGACCAGTCATTTTGACTAAATTGGTAGTTCTAGTTTTAAAATATTCAAGAAACCAAAGTAAAATAAAATAATTTTGTTCTTTCTGAAGAGAATGACTGTATTTACAATGTATTCATTAATTAGCAATAAATAAATAACCAAAGAATTAAAAATTTATTAAATAAATATTTATAATTTATTTATAAAATAAAATTATTTATGATCTACTTATAATGAGTGTCCCAAAATTCACGCAAGAAGTAATTTGAATAGAAAACACAGGTTTTTAATTGAAAATTATAAATATTTGATTAATTCATAAAGTATACATCAGTATACTTAGTATCGTAATATCTCTCTTATCCTCTTCCTTATCTTCTTATATTTCATATCTATTTCTTTATCTATATTAGTATCTTTCTGTTTTCGTTGGCAACACTGCCGCACAAATGGCGCAAAATTTAAATCTTGCGTGGATTTTGAGACACGCTATATATATTATTGTAAAATATATAAATGTATTTATAATACATTTAAAATTTATTAGGCGAATTAAACAAAATATTGATTCACTCTTCAAAAAGGGTAAGAAATTCAATATCTCACAGATTATCCTTAGCGCAGAGACATTAGATGCTATGCCTGTGCTTAATGAACACTAGCCAGTTAGGATATACAAGTAGAATATGAGCCATTTACTGCACAAATTGATTAACTCCATGAAACAAAAAGTGGAGAAATGCAGTGAAATAATGTATATTGTTTTTTAAAATTCCCTTTATAATTTAAATCGAAATAAATATCGCAGAATGCATAAATACAAATATAACTTTCATCTAACGGTATATAAAATTTATAAGAAAAAATTGCCAAGAGGTAATCGTTAGTAATGTTACCATTTTTATGTTACTGGAAGAGTTAATCGACTTGGCGAGTGAAAAAAATAACAAATTTAAATTTTACTAAATTTTACTTAAATTCTGATAAGACAGCACTAAAAAATTCACCGTTATCATTCATGGCTTGCTATTGCATTTGAGTTGCATTATTGCAACGATTTACATTAGAGTACGGAGTTAATCAAAGTGACCTCTGAAATAAATTATTTATTATTCAGTGGCCACCAAATTTTTGTCGTTTAACGGTGTTAATCTTAATTATCGGGGAAAGTTATTATAAATATAAAAAGTTATGACTATACCAAGTGCTTTGACACTTAAATTAAAGATTTTTCAAAAAGTGGAGTTAATCGATTTATGCAGTGAACGACTCATATGTTAGTGGTAATAATTACAAATTTGTAGATACGTAGATTTTTGTTAAAAAGGTATCCAACATAACCGGCACGACGATGTTATCACGCAACAGTATAGAATCAATGGACCCATCGAAAAGACCTTGGTATATGAAAGGAGGGACCAGAAAGCCTTATCCTGCCATAAAATCCCGTCGCACTGGTCGAAGATTGGCGCGTTTATGGCCCGACGAAGACGCTTATGGCGATCGTGTTACTAATCAAGTAAGACTTTAAATATTCATACACGCATGCACAAAATTGGAAAATAATAATAAGCAAATTGGCTATTGAGAATTTTGTCAGTGAGTATATCTTGTGACGAAATTTCAGGCTTTTAAATTTTGCATATCGTGTAATTGCAGTAAAATATTTGCAAATGTAGTATGTATATAATTATCAGAAAATAATATGTAGCAAAAAAGCTGCTTTTAAGAATTTTGTCAGTGAATATATTCTGTGACGAAATTTCAGGCCTTTAAATTTTGCATATCGCGTAATTGCAGGAAAATACTTGAATATGTAGCTTGTATATAATTATTAGAAAATAATATATAACAGATAAAGTCACTTTCGAGAATTTTATCAGTGATTATATTCTGTGACCAATATTTCAGACTTTTACATTTTGCATATCGTGTAATTGCAGTAAAATACTTGCATATGTAGTATGTATATAATTATTAGAAAATAATTTATGACAAAAAAGCTGCTTTTGAGAAATTTGTCAGTGAATATATTCTGTAACAAATTTGAGAATCTTAATTTCCCTATTTTGTGTAAATGCATTAAAATATAGATTTGTATATACAAAAAAATATAATTGCTAAACGATATACAATAGAAAAATTTGCTTTTGAAAATTTTATCAAATAATATATTCTGTGACGAAATTTCAGGCTTCTAAATTTTGTATTTTGTGTGAATACAATGTGAATGCAATAAAATACTTGTATGGATATAATAAAAAATAATAAAAAAGTAGTAAGAATGATAATTAATAAATAAATTAAAATTAGTACTGTTACAAATAGTTACTGTAAATAATTACTATTTATAAACGTAGAAACATTGGACACCATTAAAATATCATCTAGGAAAAATTTTCTAAGCCTCTTTTGGATAATTTGATAATTAGATTTTTACACAATTTTATAGAAATAGATTCAATACTGGAAAACATACTCAGAGACAGTGGAAGAATATTGCGAAACCCAAAATTCCAAAATTCAGAAACCCAATTCTATAGTGACAAAATAAAAAAAGTTCCTAGAAAAATACATAGTCATAGATAACAAAAAATATTACGTGAAAAATAAAGTGACAAAAATTTTAATAAAAATAATTCATTCCCATCTCTTAGAAAAAAAAAAGGAATAAAAACGAATCTGTTTTTTTCTAAAAAAAAAAATACCATAACTTTTCAGCCAACATAACAGAATTTTTAATTTAAATTATATAAATAATTATATAAATTGGATTCTCATCATGAAAAATAAGAATGTAAAAATAAAAGAATATTCTATTTTTACCATAAATTTGTGTTTAACACAATTTACGTATAATACTCTGTAATCATAATTCACTCTAAATCGACAAAAATATTTCACAACAAATTTCAACACAGAATTCGCAAGAAATCTTCAAATAATTTCGTGAAATTAATTTCGCTTGAAATATTCGGGTATACAAGCGATTGAGTGATTGATTTTGGCGTTAGATATATAATACTGCGGATAAGTTGTATATACGGCAGACATATTGCCTCGAATGAGGAGGCGCACTGTAATTTGCTGTTTGAAACGAATTGCCTAGTTACGACTTTGTTCCACGGCGTGCTAAACGAAAATAGGAACATTGTGTTCCACCTTCTCCTTCGAATTGCGCACAGCCCGTGTACCTTGCTTTTCACCCTTTCTTTCATGACACAATGCAGTCTATTATACGCGAATATAGGCCAGCGTCCTAAAAAAGCCCTGTACACAATCGTGTATTTTACGTGATTATAATTCGTTTCCTTTAGTTTTATTCTCATTGTTCTCGCGTTTTCTTTATTGTCCTTCTCATTATCCATTATTTCCTATTTTTCTTCTTCTTTTTTTTTTATATATACATTAAATTAGAAATTTCACGTAGTAGCAATTGATTGGCAAAATCTAATATTTGTATAACTTAATTTCTTTCATATGTTCATTTCATTTTTCATTTTCAAGTTATTATGCAATATAAGTCCCAATTTATCACTTACTGAAACGCAAAATATTTTTCATAGTGATTCCAAATTGCTTAAATAAGAAATAATTAATTATTAAATGGAAATCATATTTTTTCATTTACAAATATTGCATTTTATGTATAGATATTCTATATATACATATATGGGTCCATTTTTCATAACTCTGGATTGGAAGTTTTAAAATGAGAAATGGGGAAACGATAATTTTGAAATATTACATTGTAAAAATTATAGATCTTATTTTACGTCAACGAAAATTTTTATGTTTATGCAAGAATAGATATTTTGGAGTATATTAATCATAATTTACGTATAATACTCTGTAATCATAATTCACTCTAAATCGACAAAAATATTTCACAACAAATTTCAACACAGAATTCGCAAGAAATCTTCAAATAATTTCGTGAAATTAATTTCGCTTGAAATATTCGGGTATACAAGCGATTGAGTGATTGATTTTGGCGTTAGATATATAATACTGCGGATAAGTTGTATATACGGCAGACATATTGCCTCGAATGAGGAGGCGCACTGTAATTTGCTGTTTGAAACGAATTGCCTAGTTACGACTTTGTTCCACGGCGTGCTAAACGAAAATAGGAACATTGTGTTCCACCTTCTCCTTCGAATTGCGCACAGCCCGTGTACCTTGCTTTTCACCCTTTCTTTCATGACACAATGCAGTCTATTATACGCGAATATAGGCCAGCGTCCTAAAAAAGCCCTGTACACAATCGTGTATTTTACGTGATTATAATTCGTTTCCTTTAGTTTTATTCTCATTGTTCTCGCGTTTTCTTTATTGTCCTTCTCATTATCCATTATTTCCTATTTTTCTTCTTCTTTTTTTTTTATATATACATTAAATTAGAAATTTCACGTAGTAGCAATTGATTGGCAAAATCTAATATTTGTATAACTTAATTTCTTTCATATGTTCATTTCATTTTTCATTTTCAAGTTATTATGCAATATAAGTCCCAATTTATCACTTACTGAAACGCAAAATATTTTTCATAGTGATTCCAAATTGCTTAAATAAGAAATAATTAATTATTAAATGGAAATCATATTTTTTCATTTACAAATATTGCATTTTATGTATAGATATTCTATATATACATATATGGGTCCATTTTTCATAACTCTGGATTGGAAGTTTTAAAATGAGAAATGGGGAAACGATAATTTTGAAATATTACATTGTAAAAATTATAGATCTTATTTTACGTCAACGAAAATTTTTATGTTTATGCAAGAATAGATATTTTGGAGTATATTAATCATAGCATTGAAAAACTTAAGGTAACTTCTTTCACAAGTATAGTAATACTTATAAATAAATAAAATATAAATAAATAAAATTATAATACTTATAATCTTTCTCATAATCAAAAAATTCGTGTTCTATAAAGTAACGAAGTTCCATACATACAGGATCAAATTAGAACGTACTATTATCGAGAAATAAAGAGATATAAAATATATATTTTACTATATATACATATAATAGATACATAAATAATTTATACATATACATATATGTAATACAAATTTTTTTATATTCCCAAAGAAAGTTTATTTTCCAATTATATAAATTTTCAAGAACCACATCCTCCTTAAAGAGTTAAATTTTGAACGAGTATCAAACATGTTATGCGAATTCATATATAAAACAAAGACAACAAAGTATAAAAATAGAGTTAAGTTCAAAAAATTAACAAATATAATCACATATTATTTTCAACTTATAAAAATGTACTTATTCAAACGAGCAACAACTAATTCATTAAAATTATGATACATTAATATTATATAATATTTCTTCTGTATATTGTAAAACATGTAAAATATTCTAATTATCTCATTATTGTAAAATATCTCACGAAGCAGAATTATGAAGTTCGATATTAAATATTAACTTTCCTATGGTACAAAAATATGTACTATATATACGAAATATTAAAATAAAATGATTCTAGTCGTTAATTTATATTCCATTTGCACTCATATTAGATGTAAACTAGATTCGTCATTATTATAACCCAAGTGATTAATGATTTTCGTATCAACTTTATAGTTAATGTACGTGCCCACCGACTATAATAAAACCGGAAACGATCGTCAATTGAAGAAGATAATGGTTCCACATGGTATGCCCGAGGCGAAAGTTGGTCCTGATATATTTCTTCAGCTTCGATGTCCAGTTAACACTTGCACAATCGTTAGGGATAACGCTGAGGACGCAGACTTAATCCTGTTTAAAGACTATGTTATGCACGTGGGAAGAAGATCTCCGAATCAAGTACGTAATTAGAGTCTTTTCTTATTTTTATCCATTAACCCTTGTGTAGATAACCAGAAGGCAGGGGCGGAATGACGTTTTGCGCGAATTCAAAAATTTTGCGAGAATTTATGCCAGAATACACATTTAAAAATGTCTTGCATCTGTTTAATGAAAATCGATGTTTTCTAATTGGAAGGTTTCCTTAATACCTTCCGCACCCGTGTTCCAGTCGTATCAATCTTTGATGTCAACGTTTAAAACACACTGTAACGAAATATTTCAATGCAAATGTGGGAAAGAAAATCTTGCACTCGTGTCAGTATGTAGCAAGCTGTCATCGATTAATGGATTATGCTATTGTATACACCCGAATATTCTATGTACTATACAGGGGGTCCTGCAAAATGTCTGATGAGTTTTCGTAGACCACGGGGACTTTCAAAACGCGGGGCCGGGTTCCGATGAACGCGCTGAATGCGCCGGCCCTGCCAGAAGGGTCGCCATTTTTGGATAATCGAATAACTGGGTATCAATATTATTTTTCCCTTCTTTCCTTTTTGATATAGCAGATATTCGGTGATAATTTTATTAAATATTTTCTACTCTCGTGGTACACCTAATTATTATTTGTTACAATGTTCAGAAACAACAATATATTATATTGTGATCCTATGATTTAGGATATTGAGCATAAATTTTTCTGTAAAATACAAATCGATTTGTTACTTAACTTGCTGTTGACATAAATTTGTTCAAAGAATGAGAGTCGAAGCTATCTTGGACTATTTTCGATATTAACAATATTGTAGAAAGCAAGATATATATAAATGGTACCCAAATATGTGATAATTATGTCACTGAAGGGTGTTAATTTATTCACGCGTTTAATTAATGATCATAGAAATTAGCCGAACTCATTTTGCACGAATATGATTGAACCCGCATGATAGCACAAAATGGGTACCTAGTTATCTACATAAGGGTCAAAATATAATTTCGGTAAGCAAAGTGAACTGTAGAGAATGATAATTTTCTTGAAAAAAGAAAAGGGAAAATAATTTAAAATAGGACAGATAAGATAAATTTCAAATTAGTAGAACGAAGAAAATAAATTTTGTATAAATGAAAAGAATGAAATAAATTTTGTATAAATGAGAAAAATAAAATAAATTTTGTATAAATGAGAAAAATAAAATAAATTTGGTATAAATGAGAGGAATAAAATAAACTTGGTATAAATGAAAAGAATAAAATAAATTTGGTATAAATGAAAAGAATGAAATAAATTTATATTATTTATAAGATTTATAAATAAATCTTGAAAAAAGAAAAGAGAAAATAATTTAAAATAGGACGGATAAGATAAATTTCAAATTAGTAGAACGAAGAAAATAAATTTTGTATAAATGAAAAGAATGAAATAAATTTTGTATAAATGAAAAGAATGAAATAAATTTTGTATAAATGGGAAAAATAAAATAAATTTTGTATAAATGAGAAAAATAAAATAAATTTGGTATAAATGAGAGGAATAAAATAAACTTGGTATAAATGAGAGGAATAAAATAAACTTGGTATAAATGAGAGGAATAAGATAAATTTGGTATGAACGAAACGAAAAGCAGTAAACAAGTTTATTATGTCAAATAATATCGGACATTTCGTAGTAGCGAGTTTCGTTTAACGAAAACTGCTAAAATAATTATCTAGAAAATTCCTTCAGGCAATTATAACTTTCACTGACCTACCATAGTTACTTTTAGTATAATATTAACATATTATACAACCGGCACTGCCGACACGGCTTTGATCAAATTAATTTTAACTAATTATATTGGATACGAACGAATTCCGTGTTTCAACGGGAATATTGTACATTTCCAAGCGAAATTCAGAAATTTCGGTCGACTCTATTACCCACTCGTATTTGACGATGTTCGTTAATTAAATAATTTCTGCAGCCGATAATAAGATAATTAAATTGGATAACGTACTTTAGAAGAAATTACGAAAGAATTCGCGTTTGTGCTGTCGTAGAAAATTTAATTATATACTTCGAATGAGACTGATACGATTTTCAGCAGGTGTGGATGCTGTATTTTTTAGAGTGCCCTTATCACACGCAGAGCGTGAAGAACGCTGTCATCAATTGGACTGCAACTTATCGTCGTGACAGCGATATAGTCGCGCCCTATGAAAGGTGGCAATATTACGACTCTAGTGTCACACAAATACCGCAGACTTTTAATTATGCAGCCAACAAGACTAAAAAGGTGAGTCGTCCTCATTTTATTCGTGTTACTTGGGTTTTATCGATACTTCTCAACTTATACGAGTTCTCGTTTTAAAGTTATTTCTGAAAGATCGTGTAAAATTAATCAATTTCTTTCGTTCGAGACGAATCAGATATTTGAAGAATTGAAAGACAACGTGAATTATGAATTTTTGATGGGTTTGACATTGAAATTATTTCAAATGCGAAATGAAATTTTTTGGTTGAAAAGGATCGAGAAATTTTCAATTTTGTATAATATCTTAAGTTAAAATTTATATGAAAAAATATTTTCATGTGTAGAAAAATTATTGGTGATTATTGCAATTGCTTGCGAGAAGTTTTGAATCCAGTTATCGGATTATTTAGAAATATTTATTTACAGAATTACACGAATTTATTATATTAATGCAAATTTGATAATAGTTAAAAATAGAAACTAAACAATTTAATTTTGTTAAATATTAATGTATTGTTTATGGTCGAATAAGTGATTAATTTATAAAATTAAATTCTCTATTATTATATTAATTTGTTCATTGCTATATAATTTATATTGCAATATAATAAAAAATGTACAAGGTCTTAGGAAAGTCTTATACTACTAAATTCTTTCCTTCAATAATATATACGCATATGTGCAATAAAGAGATATTAAAATATTACATATGCTTCTTGAAATAGCGTAGCATAAATCTATAAATAATAATATTTAGGTATTTCCATTTAAATGTCCCGCCCTATATTATATAATTATAACTTATATCTATATATTTATGTTATACCTATTGAACTATAGATAGAAAATAACAGCAATATTTTCAGTATAAAATAGTAACTATTTCATTTGAAACAAAACAAGTTTTATTAAATAATATATTGACCATTTTGAACTATAATAAATAGTTCCAAATAGCCTGTGACCATATCTAACAGAGTAAGAACATATCTTTATACTAAGAAACAAATGGCTGCCATCTACTGGAAAAATACGACACTACTCATTGGGCAACCAATGTAAATAGATATTTATATCAATACCTTTACAAACAAAAATATATATCTATTTGTATAAAAATTGGAAATTTTTCTTAAACAATCAAATCGTGTACTATATTATATCAAATACTACACACATGTATAAATAACTTAATTTTTTAACTTAACTTAACTTAAATTTTAACTTAATAAATAATCTTAATTCCATCAAGTTCATTCAATTCCAGCACACGGCAGCACCATTAAGAGAAATTCTTTTAAATGTTAATTCAGGTAGCTTGGTTCGTTTCTAATTGTCATCCACGAAATCAACGTATGCACTACGCCAAAGAGCTGTCGAAGTACATCCAAGTGGACATTTATGGGACTTGTGGTAGTTTACGATGCCCACGTTCACAATCGCAGGCATGTTTTGATATGCTCGATGAAGACTACAAGTTCTACCTCGCTTTCGAGAATTCAAATTGTAAGGACTACATTACGGAAAAGTTCTTCGTCAATGGCCTCGGGTATGTCATATTTCAATTCATGTTTATACTTCCGTCTGAAATTATACAAATACAGTTTGAAAGTACGATACGAATAGCGATTTATTGATCTCGCGAATTTCAACGCGGTATCGTCTTTCATGAAATATGTATGTGCAAGTATATGCGAGATTTAAAGTAGTACTTAAAAATTTCGTTGGGCTGTTGCCATAATTGCCAAAGTGTGCTTCACGCTCAGTTGTTACCACCCTTATTTAGTGCACTTTGGTATATGTAGAGGTCCTCAAGATTCCCTCCTGTCCTACTCTGTTGAAGTGTTGTCTTCACCGAGATTTTGGAATAAGGGTTACTGTTGTGAGGAACTAAAGTGTGGCTGGCACCTGATCTTTCGAACATTTGAAATACTACTTTGTTTTTATTCTTAGCCCATATCCCATTTTCACACGTGTGTATTAAATATATTCAATTTGTGCGGGGAAACTTAAAAATTATTTCATTTTTGAAATTTGTTACTTTATTTTAACGTTCTTTTAATGCAAATATTTATTAATTTTATTTGTTATATATTCGTTATTTTTTCACATTGATAACTTTTATTTATTTTATTATTTTGGAATTTATTTAATTTTTAAAATTAGAATACTGTTAGGTACTATTTTCTTTTTTTATTTACACTTTTTTCAGTGTTATCTAACGATATTGAGATACAATTAAATAATTAATCGCAGCCAAACAAAATATAATTAATTATATTTTTCATAATATTTTAATTTGATTTGTAATTTATTAGAAATTATTTATTTCCTATATATAGTGTGTCATTTTACACTGACACTTAAAATTATTTAATATTAAGAAAAGGAATAATTTATATTTAATATTTTAATTTTATGTGTAATATTCAACTATACGATTCAAAAGAATAAAGAATATTACTCGATTAAAGAATATCTGGGTAATGATTAGCTTTTGATACTTTAACAACTTTTAAATTTGAATGAAATAAATTAATTTGAAATTTATTTATTTTAAAAATAAATTTGAATATTAAATAATCTTTCAAATTTAAATGTATATAATATGAATTATGTATTATTTATTATGTTTGTGAATGTTCATTCAATACTTCGTAGTAAGGAATTATTTCATTTAATACAGCCTAAATAAAGGAAATATATATATTTTTTATGTTTAATAAAAAATAATTATACATTCCACGTTTTATTTTTATTGCATAATTTACACAGTTCTAGATGTGTCATTTTTGATAGTTGTACCTAAGTTTAGTAAATGTAAAACATTTATATTTTTATTTTTAATTCGTCAAATTTTCATTCTTGTAATGAAATTTTGTAATTTTATGAATATTTTACAATGTATTACAATATTAGTGTAATGTACTAAATGCAAGATAAAACGTTTACATTTCCACGCTTAAAAAAATTAATTTTTAATAAAGTATACATCATGTATGTATATTACAGTATCGTAGTGTTATAGTTAGTCGATTTGAAGTCACTCAATTAAATAATGTATATTAAAGATTGCAATATTTCTGTCATTTAACGTAATTATATTGCGTGAAGCAATGCTCTTATTACTTCGGTTGATTTCACAGTGTTTACACGATTAATGACAATACAGATTACCAAATTGCGATAAAAAATTAACACCATGTTTATATTAATGATTTTAAATGATTCGAAGTCGATTAACTCAGTTAACTAATTCAAAGTTGTCTAGTGTAAACAATTTTCTAGGTTAAGATATATTAATAGTCAATGTATTAATAATTGTAACAAATCTATATTTCGAGAAATTTATACTACAGCTTTATATTTCGATGTAATTTGTTTACCTTAACGTCCTGCATTTTCTGCTATAATATAGTCGAAATAACTTTCTACTTTTAATTTAGACACAACGTCCTGCCAATCGTAATGGGTGCACATCCGACGGACTACGCACGCAGCGCACCATACCGTTCTTACATTCACGTGGACGAGTTCGAGTCACCGAAAGAGCTTGCTGAATATCTGCATCGTTTAGATCGGAACGACGAACTGTATAATTCGTACTTTCGCTGGAAAGGTACTGGTGAATTTATCAATACGTATTTCTGGTGTCGCGTTTGTGCCATGTTGCACGATGAAAGACCGCCGAAATTTTACAAAGACATAAACGAATGGTGGAGAGGCGATGGGGTATGTACGACGACGTCCTGGCGTGAACACGACTCGGCACGTGCAGGAAGCTCGAAGAATACTTGAGAGGTTCTTCGCGAGATGTCGTTACTTACCATAAATTGACGCGGTGCGTCGGAATTTATATATACGCTTTCATCGATAGAATCGTCTGGACTTCCAGGAGGCGTGGAGAATTTTATCGATACACGTAGGACAGTTCGTTCTGTCATTTTTTCGTTAAACCTTGTGATTAATTTGTTGCGATACTTCAAGAAGGAAGTTATCCATGGGTATGGATGAATCCTACTTTACCGAGACGTTAGAATAAACGTCTGGGTAATCTGTTAATTGATTGAGAAGACTGCCGACTACGAATTTGATGAAACACGAGGAGCTAGGAGTATTCGAATTTGTATTTTTCGACGAGCAATATGGACTTTTACATACATCAATCAATAACCGGTTCGCTGCTTTAGACGAACAGTTATTCGCGTTTTTATGGTGACTATAAAGTGCTGGTCTTTCTTCGAAAGTGGCAGTAACAATTGACATCTTGACTCAGGTCAATTATTTGCAATTCATTTAATGTACAAAGTAAGTTGAACAATTTTTTTCTTTTTTTTTTAATATTTACAGAGGTACGTTTTAAAATTTTTATTTTTCGTTTAAAGAGTTATAAATAGTCATTAATCCGAAAATTTTTCCAATACCAAATTAGTTACCAAATTACCAAAATTACCAAATTAGTTACGCACAGAACAAATAGTTTCGGCATATCACTCACTATGAATTTTTAATAACGTTCCTTTGAGATTCACGTAACATTTTCATTGAGGTCTTTTATGTATTATTATTTAAAAATCTAATATTCAAATTATAAGTCTCTAACATGTTATTTTCGTAAAATATATTACCAGACAGTGTTTTATACAATTATTGATAAATTATGAACATTAATGTAGTTAATGCGAAATTGAAGATGTACTTGAAAATGCTAACTTAATACTGCACATTCTGAGTTCAAGGAAATATACGTGTCGATTAATTTCTAGAAAATATACAGATACTATACATGCATATTGCATAATTGAAAATCATATAACATTTCATTTAATTTATTTAAAATTTCTTCTTTTTAATAACAGAAAAAAGGTATTTGATTGGAATACAAGAAATTAATGTACTTTAATTGCACTCTTGAAACGTTTCACATGTTTTAAATATATAAATAATTTAAAATTTATTACTTTTAAGTTCAAGGTAATAATATAAATTCAACCATTTTGAACAGCAATTTTGATTTTGTACAAGAGTCAAAATAAAAGAGAAAATGTAGGTTTTGATTTAAATTTTTTAGAAAGCAGTTGTGGAATATATGGGGGTTGCATGAAGCCATATTCATTTCTTTTAAATACAGTTGAACAAGGCAACAATTACTCTTTTTAAAATTAGAAACAATGATATTCTGTTGGCAGTTTATGCTCAATAGACATATTAGATTATTACGCTTAGTATATGGAATGTAGGTATAAGTATTGTATAACCTGATAAAAAGGTAATTTCTTACGCAAAAATAAATTAAAAATGTACAATACACTACTTTCATCCAAAGCTTAGTTTTTGAGAAAATTGATTTTGAAATTCATGCATATGCCTTTGTATATGTAAGATATAGTTGGTTAAATGTCTTTGTACATGATATCTAGGTGATTTTTACGAGTTATTAGATTCAAGAAAGCGTAAAGAAAAATATTAAATATATAATAGTAATTGATTTTATCTATTAAATGTATACATACCCAATAAATTTTACAAGCTGATTTTCTCGAGAACTAAGCTTTGGATGAAAGAATTGTATGAAAAAACGTTATGCTATATTTTTTATCTATCCTTGCATAAGGAATCACCTTCTGTAAGTTTTTACAATACTTTTGGATGCACCCTGTATGAAAGGAAAATGCTAATTCTGTATAATGATGTAAAATTCGACGATGCGCAAGTTAATATAATTTAAAATGTTCCTGGTAACAATGTGAACTTTATCTTCGTCCAGTATTCAGATAAATATTCATGCGGATATCTGCTTGTGTTCAATGAATATTTATCAGTATTCAGATAAGCTATTCATGTGGGTTCGAATTCAGATCATACTCTCATTTTAATTAACATTCTCTAAAACTACAATAAGCAGCTTGAAATAGTAGAAGTTTTTGGTTAAAATGTTTCTCACATACATGTTATTCATAATACATAAATATGGTTTTTGTAAATATCATTATGTACTGTAAGCATAAATTTTTGTTAACTTATAAATCTATTTCAAGAACTTCTTCTTCTTGATTTATTAATTTATAGTACATATGTATATGAGAGTAATCATTCTATATAAAAAATTCTACTTGAAAGTTGTAGTAATTAAATTTGAGAGATTTACAATTGTATGAAATAAAATCTCATAACAGAAGTGAGCAAATAGCAATGACAATGGATTATAGTAAATTTAATGCTTTAAACAAGTGTTTTCATAATTAGATAAAAATAGTTACTTTGAAATCTTTGATAACATTGACTATGACCTAATGCAACTGCTTTTATCGCAATGCAATTATTCATTATCAAACAAATCAATATGCAAAGTAATGAAAACTTTTATTGATACATTCTGTATAATAAACTACTTACATTTCTATGAACTAGATAGCAGATAATGACTGGAAATAACATTGAACGAGTTATCTGTAAATTATCTCTAGATTAAGTCTTTCAAGGTGCGATGTTTACAATTGTACTTGTTAATTAATACGTACTGGTAGCTCGTATAGGTATTACAATCAATGTACTATGACTAGAATAACTGTTGGAATATTCTCAAGCTCTTAAGCCTGACTGCAATTCTACACTGTGAGATTGCTTCTGAGATTTTGAGGTTATTCGTCGAGAGTGGAATTGACAAATGTATAATAGAAACTGTAAGGAAAATATTTGCACATAGCTGGACATTGTTTACTGTTTATATAACTGTTTACATTATGGAATTTACTAGATTCGAACCTACACGGATAAATATCGAGTCACACATGAATCGGTGTTTGGCAACTGTAATCCAATGGATCATTCAAGAGTCTACGATTATGTCACGTTTTGTAAAAGATTTCTGTGTTCCAGATCATCTATCCACTTCTTCAAATCACATATGAAAAAGAGATAAACATTTTTGTTAATACTAGTATACTTTTACTTCTTTTATCGACATTCATGTACTGTAATATACGCTGTTACTCGTGTTCTGAATGGATATAGTATAAGATATCGATGACAGATGGCGCTCATTGTCAACGTTGCCAATCACTGTCATAGGTAACGATCATTTTTATGCAATCTGATCTTTTCACAAAGATCTTTCACGTTACGTCGATGTATATTTAAAACATTATACATGTACAGTCGTTATTTGTAAAATATTCCATCAAGTATGCGAGATTTTTGCAAGATCTAGTCAAGTGTGACCTTATCGAAAAACTTCTTCGAGTCATTCTCATCGCTACGTACGCAACGTGTACCTGTTCAAATGATTCCTAGTATAACTTACTATTAATTTCGATTTAATTAATATAATATTAAGTTAACTTATGTAGCTATTTAAATAATTATTCATCGAACGAATCGTTGCGTGCTCTATTCGCTTACTGTATATTTTTGAAACGATTATGATTCTCTTCTTGAACAGATTTTATTCGTCAGGATAGTATCAGAATGATTATTCATATTAATTTTTTTTTGGAATTATGAAACCCTAATAGCTTCTGAAATATGTTATGAATTTTTTTGAATGATTATTATGATGAATAAAATTTGATGTCAACATATGTTCAACATATTCTAATTACGATTTACAAATTTGTTGGTTTACAGAACAGAATTTTAATACTGCATTTAATTGCGAAAACTTAATATTTTGTTATGTGTTAGGTCATGAGTGTGTATATCAAAGTAATTTTTGCGCGTTATGTGAAAGAATAGTATTCGTTAAAAATCTTTCCTTTTCCATAATGTACACTATTTTTAAATCAGTTATTTATATTAAATATTAATCAGTTATTTAATAACTTTTTTCCTGTTATAATTTTAATATCATTTAAACATTTTCGCAATTTTGAACAAATTCTTAATTAACTACTTTTGTTTGATATTTTTAAAGAAAATGTAAGGTATAAAAATAGAAAATATAGAATACAAAATATAGAAAAATTAAAAAGTATTATTTTGGACTAACTTATAGAATTATTTTCTTCTAATATATAAATTGACGAATAATTCTTTCCAATACTTGCAAAAATAACGCCGAATATGCTTCTATATAGTTATTTAAATAAGAAAAAATTGCGTAATCACTTCTAAATTGAGAAATGTTATATTGGGTTTATAATCAAACATTTTCTATATCATTATCGAATTTTGCAAGATAATTTTCTTCTTTATAATTTCTAAGTCAATATGATTATGGTGTCGTTCTTACGATTATGAATTATGTTTGTGCTTATGATTATGGAGTTGATTTCCTATCAAGGACATATCAATTAATCGATTAATAATGATTAAATAGTTAACTGTTGGTTTAAAACAAATTATATAATTACGGGACGTAAGCTTTCGCGAATTACAAACGAATTGCTTACTGATCGACTCTCACTGTAAAATCAAAGATGAATTGTCGTTGAACGACCATGAAGAGGTACATATTGTGCGAGGAAGTCATTTTTCGCTTCCATTCTTGTACAAAGTAATTGCACAAATATCGAAAAGATCATGTATCAGCTAAAGATTCCGACTTTATACTGATACGTAATCATACAGTAGTCATGTAAATTATCACGTTATTTTTCAACTTATATTTCAAATATTTATTTATTTTACTGTTATCTAACAATAATTACTATACGAGATACTAAAATTAGTATTCATGAAAATTGTCAAGCATGCTAGAATTTCTAACTCGTCGATATTTTGGAAAAATTTGTCCATTTAATACAATCGTACAAATTTGTCTAAAATTTTGATCAGTATCATCCGTATGGTATAGTCCA